GGAAGGAAGGAAGGAAGGAAGGAAGGAAGGAAGGAAGGAAGGAAGGAAGACATTCACACAGTCTTTCTCTTAAGTGCTTGTGTTTATGTGGTTTGCTTCCCAACAACAAAATCACCTGCTAAAATTTTCAACAAAGGTAGAACAGAAACTCCACAGCTGAGCTGCCTCTTCAACCAAGTTGAAAAAAAGCAAAATTAATTCTGGCCTGAGAAAAGGGCTCCAAATTTAATATGGTATTTTACTTCTATGGAACTAATCCTCTGAATCAAATAGATTTTTAAATGAAAAAATTTTAAATGAAAGGGCTAGTCTCTGACAGAAGAGAAAAATGCTGCCTATTTGTGTGATTAAGAAAAATGTAGGTCTGCAATAAAATTATTGTTATGGAGGGGGAAATGTGTTTGACGAAGCAATAAACTTGGATGCTGAAGTAAGGTTTGTTTATTCTCTATGAATGTCAGTTCCTGTGAGCTATCAGATGCAATAAAGCATAAAATTCTGTTTGATTTATATTCACATGGTCTAATATCATATAATAAGTGAGATTGAAAGCCACATGACATATCTTCTAGGGCTGGTAATTTAATTTCAGTATTTTTGGATTAGTGATGGAAAGTTATGGATTAGAAAACATATCAATGTATGTGAACCTTTTAGATAAATAAAGTACCAGAAAATACTCTCCTGAGATAAGAAGGTTAATAGATATACCCTTGAATTTAAGCTCCTTTTAAGTGCTGTGTCACCAGTATATTCTTTGATTATAAAAGTTTGAAAAAACCCCATGTTAAGCAGGCTTTGAACTGAAAAAAAAACCCAAAAACAAAAACAAAGCACCAGTTAAAATAGGAATTACATAATTTTGAACATTTGCTGTACACTTCCATATGAAAGGAACATTTAAATTGTTGCACCAAGTTTGATGCAGATAGTATAATTAAAAGAAAAGATAAATCAGAACCAAAATTCATCAGGGGAATTGATTTAGCTAACACACTTTCACAAATTAGAAAGCAAGAGGGGGACAACCATAATCATCTAGTCTGACCTCTTGCATTCCATATAATGTGATTTTTATGAATTAATTCCCATCTCATCTAGCACTTTTCTTTTAGAAAGACATTTGATCTTCATTTTAAAATGCATAGCAAAAATGGCTGCATTTGAAAACAATTTCCTCAGTAGCAGAGTTTTTGTAGATGTTGAATATTTTCCCTAAGTTGAGTTTCACTCATACTTTAAAATTTAATCTGTTTTCACAGGTATACTCATTAATACAACCAAGGATCAAATGAAGCTTTCTGGCTACAGATTGGAGATGAGCATGTGTGTTTAGCTGATTGTGCCTGATCTTTGGGTCACCTGCCAGCTTCTTCAAGGTCATTGAAGAATAAGTATAACAGAACCAAGAACTGACAGTAGGTATTCATAGGCTCAGCAATGATTGTTTGTCTACCTTTTCATCCTGGTATCTGTTAGCTAACCCATTTTTAATCTTTATAATGTATGCTATATTCATTTTTTTACTAGTCTGCTGCCTGATCAGAATGTGTGGTATCAATCAAAACAAAGTCTTCCTGTTCTCTAGGAATACTGAATTTAGGCAGCTAATTAATCTGCATAATCTATTATTTATGTATTTAACAATCAGATTTGTAATCTTGTTGAAAGAATGAATCTTGTGACAAGTTTTTCACAAATTCATGTTTTTTCCAAATATGTATGCCTTTTTAATTCCATTCCTTACCATTCATAGGAATCATAGAATGGCTTGGGTTGGAATGGAAGCGACCTTAAAGATCATCCAGTCCCAATCCCTTTAATATAGGCAAGGAACCTTCCAGCAGACAAGGTTGCTCAAAGCTCCATCCAACCCGGCCTTGAAGACTTCCAGGGATGGGATATCCACAACTTCTCTGGCAGCCTGTTTCAGTTCCTCACCACCCCCACAGTAAACAATTTATTCCTGATGTCTAGTATAAACCTCTCTTTCAGGTTAAATCTGTCTTCCACCTTGTCTTTTCACTGCATACTTATGTAAAAAGTCCTTCTGTATCTTTCTCTTCAGGTACTACTGGGAAGCTACAATGAAGTCACCCCTAAGCCATCTCTTTTCCAGCCGGAACAATCCCAATTCTTTTAATCTTTCCTGATAGGAGAGGTGCTTTATGCGTCTGATGGCCCTCCTCCAGACTAGCTCCAAAAGGTCGATGTCCTTCTTGTGCTGGGGACCTCAGAGCTGCATGCAGCACTGCAGGTGGAGTCACTACTGGTGACAGAGAAAGAAACTTTATGTCAAAAAAGATATTACTTGATTTTTTTGGCAACTTGGAAGCAAATAGTGGAATTACAAACATTTTAGCAGAGGAAACAAGCGGGAGCATGAGTGTGATTGTTATTGATTACCAAATGGTCATTCTCTAAATCTTTCCCCACTAGCAAAGACCATGACAAGCTCCTTAAATAGGGCTCTTTTGTGTACCAAGTAATCCTGCGTTCCCACAGGAGAGTTTAAATAACTTCTCAATATTCATACTTCAACTAAGTTCATACTAATTCATACTTCAACTAAGAAACTTCATACTTCAACTTTCGTTAGCTGCAGATATCTAATCTTTCCTTATGGTGCTTTCAAACTCTACCCTTATGTAAGAGAGATGCTGATCCTACCTGTATATCTGAGTATATTTCACTCCATAACATATTTAGACTAAAAGGTTCACTCAAGTTCCCTGTGGAATAGGAAAGAATTTTTTTCTTTGTTTTAAAAGGAACTAAAGCAAAGTGAGTAGGTCTGTATAAATAGGAGGAGGTATTCCAGGTATGCTGCATTGAACTTTGAAGGCAGTAGAGAAAGCTGCACACCGATAAAAAACAATTGGGTAGCCTAAAGTACTGTCTAGAGCTAAGCACTCCATATTATGCTGCCTCTCTATTATGCTTTTGTTGGAAGCAGAGTGGCATCATAACACTTCCTCCATTTCTATGGAGGTGCAGACCCTGCACTGAAATGCTTGACTGAGCCAGTTGTGCCATGTCCCAATAGAAACGGTGCTTTTATCAGGCTCATTAAATTATTCAGATATGAAGTGAACAGATTGCCTGAATAAGAGGGGATTTTATCAGTTATGGAGGGACAAGTTCAGACCTATCCCTTGTCCTTTAGAGATTGTACACTTGGCAAAGTATGAAAATATTTCGAGTAGTAATGACCAGAAGCCAGGAAACCTATCATGCTGTTTAACTGGCGCTTCTGGGTTCTCTTGAACTGCTTTCTGCCAGCTGAGCCCATTTCAGAATGGCTGAGGGGTAGTTGCTGTATCGAGATCCCAAGCTGGATGTCTGAAACATCCTCAGCATAGTGAATGCATACTAAACTCAAGCTACAGTGAGGTCTCACAATCTTCAAATCCAATGAAACCTCCCATTTATCTGCTCAGCCCTCTTAGGGATTTTCCTACCAGTGTTGGGAAACCCACAGTGTTCCCATTTTAGCCTAACTTTCAAAGCAGCACAGAAATGAGGCAGTCTCATTAGCCACTGATTTTTAATGGCTCCTTTAACCCTGTGCTCCCCCCACCACAGCCTTCCACAGCCTTTAATTTACAAATATCTTGAATATATCTGGAATCTAACGTTGAAAGGTCTAAGGGGAAGTGCTTGTGTAAGAGAGGGTGAGAAACCGAGGAGAAGCCGAGAAGAGGGATGGGCAAGCTGGAAGTAGGGTTGGGGGAGTGATGAGGAGCTGGGGATGAGCTGAAGCGGGGGGAGGAAGGGGGGGGAGGCGTGCAGAGATGCGGGCTGTGCGAGGGTGCGTGTGCATGGTTTGGGGAACAAAAATCGACATCGTCTGAAACGGACGTGACTTTTCCCGCGGGGGCGGGTGCACTCCCAGCACCTGAGGCATGCAGCCTACCCCGACCAGCCTTTTCCACGACGGTGCAGGGGCTGAAGCGTCCCCCGCGGAAGCTGCACCCCTTGCCCGGTCGGGGAAAAGGCTCGCCAGGGCGGGTTGGGGACCGACGCGGATCCCCAGCCTGTTCCCGCATTGGTTCCCGTAAGTTCCCGCGTCATTTTTCTCCCCACACCCCGCTTTTCGCACTGGCAACCACAAGCCTCGATGGACGGGCGGGAGAAAGCTCGGATGCTCTGACGGGTCTGGGTTTGGGTTTTGTTGGTTGTTGTTTTTTTCCCAGCCTCGGGAATAACCACTAGGGATGTCCGGGATTCAACCAGAGGATGGTTCCCCTCCGTACAGGAATTGGACGAGTGGGTCGGAACTAAATGAAACGCGGGAGGCTCTTTTAACGCCTTCCTCCGACTACGATGATGAGGAGTTCCTGCGATATCTCTGGAAGGAGTATTTGCATCCCAAGGAATATGAATGGGCGCTGATCGCCGGCTACATCGTCGTATTCATTGTGGCTCTCGTTGGGAACGTCTTGGGTGAGTCGAGCTCCCCAAAACTTCCCGTTCTCCCTTCCCGAGATGGGTTTTGCGCGGAGGGTGGCTGGAAACC